TGCCGTCGTATTTTCACCTTATACGGCAATATACGGCCGTTTCGTCGCCGTATACGCCGTCGGGAATGGTCATATATAGTCGTTTGTTTGTGTCGCAATGCTCGATATGAGATTGGATAAAAGACTAATGCATATTTCATTTGTCCCATTATTTTTTTTTTCGTCTTCTAAAACAATTCGATATCATCTTTAACAACAAAATGGAATTAGTCATTGAAAAATTTCGTAAATATCGTCATAAATATTATCGTTCACATGAGGAAATAATTGAATTATGGATGAATATTTTATCTGAATATGATTTATCAACATTGGGTGATGAAAAATGGCTAATACTTGAAACAGTACATAAATCAGCTTTACATTGTTCAAAACAATTAATTGCTCTTCAATGTCTTGAACAATTAGAACAACAATTTGAAACAACACATCCTCATATAATAATATTAAATACAATGTATCCTGAATCAACTGGAGAATATAAAAAAGTTGAAGAAAATCGTTCAAAATTAATAGAAAATAATGAAACTGATATTATTAATAAAACTCTTGCTTTAATTAATGATTTAGTTGATATTTGCACAAATTTTTCTGATTGTCCTTCAAGTTGTTTAAAGTCGATTAAACAATATTGTCAACAAATTAATGAAGCTATTGATAGTGGTAGTTGTATTGAACAAAACGATTTTAAAATCATTTTAATAGAAATGAAAAATTTTATTAAATTAATCAATCTTAATGATTTTGAACAAGAAAGATTTAATCGTATTATATCTGTTATTGAAAATTGTTTCAACAAATTCTCCGTATGTCTTGCCTTTGTTATAACAATCAATTATTTATTTCTATCTTCCTTTTAGAACGAGAATATTAAAAGTAAAGCTGAATTAATTAAGATGAAATACAACATGATATCAACACAACAAAAGCAAGATGCTAAAATTAAAAAATGTGAAGAAAAAATGGATGAATTACATAAAGAAATTTTACAACTCGAGTAATATGATTTCTATATTTTCAAAATTATTATTTTTTTTAAATATTTCTTTACAGAGAAACAACCAAGAGTAATGAAATCATTAGTGATGTTTTTGCCTATCTTCTTCAACCATTCACAAACAAAGTGAAGGCAGAATTTGAAAAAATGAATGCAGCTAAAAATGAACCTAAATATGATTTGTTAAAGTGTTATAATATGAAAGTACTAGAAAAAATTCAATCCAACGATTATATTAAAACAGATACTGCATGCATGATTGACAATTTAATAACAGAATTTGTTGCTGATTCACGAATAGAACGTTCTAATTTCATCGAATTACTTATGGATAAAAAAGATCGAAATTATAAATGCCATACTCTTCTCAATAATTATATCGATGATATTATCAACAAACAAAACAATGAAAATACTATAATCGAATTTTTAGAAGAAAACTATCCTTGTACAATAATTATTGATGATGAAGAAAAAGATAAGCTAATCAAATTGATATGTTTAAATATCAAACTCAAAAAGAAAAAAAATTTACCGTAAGTTATAGAACAAAAAACAAAAAAAAATTATGGATTTGTAAGCATAAATTTTTTCGTTTATAGAGAAATAATTCTTGATCAACATTTTAATATTTTCCAACATCATGATGATATGATTCATGATCAACTTCGAATGCCAATTGTAGATCAATACAAAGTTTGTGTTTGTTTTTTTTTTGTTTTTAAAATAAAAAAGAAATGTTTATTGTAGGAAATGGGTACAATTGTGATGGGTAAAATTGAATCAGGATGTTGTCGTGTTGGTGATAAATGTATAATTATGCCAAATGAGATACATGTTGAAATTACCAATATTTATAATGAAGATAAAGATTATGAAACTGATTCTTCTGTTTATGGAGAAAATGTTCGTCTTAAATTAAAAAATATTGAAGAAAAAGTAAGTTTTCTGCTTTTATTAATTATCATTTTCTAATCAAGATTTTTAGGAAATTTCATCTGGTTTTATTTTATGCAATGCTAAACAAAAACTATGTCGTGTTGGAAGAATCTTTGAATCAGAAGTAAAATAAATAAATAAATAAATAATTGAAATATATATACTTATATTTTGAAAACTAGATAACGATAATTAAATATCCATCAAAAATTTATCCAGGTTATTTAACTGATCTTCATATTCATACAACTGTAGCTGAAGTTCGATTAAAAAAATTAATAGCATTAATTAATCCTGAAACAGGTGAAAAAATTCTAGAAGATCCAAAATTTATAAAACAAAATCAAGTTGCAATTGCAAGATTTGAATTATCACAATCTCAACAAATTATTTGTATGGAATTATTTAAAGATTTTCCTCGACTTGGTCGATTTGCATTATGTGATGAAGGTCAAACTATTGCAGTTGGAAAAATTCTTGAAATCATTAGATAAAAACTGTTCTCTTTTCTCTCTATTATATTATTTTTTTTCTCACAAATAAAAGCTCAAAGCTCGATGAAATAGTTACAGATCTTTTATTTCTTTGAATAATAATTAAATAATGAATATTGATACAAAACCATCAAAAACAATAATTGATACAACAGAAACAAAGTTTTTATCATTCAATTTGTATTTTTATTTAAAACAACTGATTTTTTTTTCTTTGATTCTATAGACAGTATATATTTATTAGTGAGATATATAGTTGAAGGTAGTATATGTATTCGTGATGATTGTTTAGCAATAGGTGATCAAATAACTGAAGTTAATGATCAATCATTTAATGAATTTTCTAATGTTGAAGCACTTTATTTATTATAAAATACAAGTTTATCTATAAGACTTACAGTTTAACGTTACCTTGATGGTATTAAATATGGAACAAATTAAAGACATGATTGATAATATCAGTTTTCTTTTTAATAAAATATTTTTTTTTTATTTACAAGTTCTCAAATCATTACATTAAATAGAAGAAAAAATTGAATTTCAATCTCAATTAGATATTAATGAATAAATATTTCAAAAATGAACTAAATTTTTAGGAAATAATTATGATATACTAGTGAGAGCCCGTACATACTGCACGGCTGTTTTTCTCCTTTAACGTATGATCTTAGACGTTTAAGTTTTCATTCGGTAACAGACATATACATACTCGATATTATGTATATAGATAGATAGTTCCCTCCTCCCCTATAGTCTCGTACTCTTATATCGCACATATTCTCAGAGTCAATGTAGCCATCGGTCTTATACGCTTATATGTCTCATAGATTCTGTAGCCTTATCTCCTTATTGCCTTACTTCTTTCAGGGCCTATGAATGCCCCTATAGGATAGTCCTTGAGGATCTATGACTACTCCCATAGGATAGCCATTCAGCACCTATTATTACTTCCATAAAATGACCCTTGAGGACATATGACTACCCACATAGGATATCCCTTGGAGACCTATAAGTACTCCCATATAATAGGGTTTGAGGATATATGAGTATCCTGATAGGATAACCCTTGAGGATTTGTGAATACTCACATAGAATAGCTCTTGAGGACCTATTGGTACTCCGATTGGATAGGTCTTTATGACCGATGGGTACCCCATATAATAGGATTTGAAGACCTATCAGTTCCCATAGGATAGCCCTTGAGGACCTATGGGTACTGCTATGAAACAGCCCTTAGAGTCCTATGGGTACTCCATAGAACGACCTTGAGGACCTATGGGTACCTCTATAGAATTGCTCTTGAGGACCTATAGGTACCGTAGAGGATGGCCCATGAGGACCTGTCAGTATCCCCCCGATAGGACAGCCTTTGAAGACCTATGGGTACCCGCACATAATAGCCTTTGAAGATCTATGACTACTCCCATAGGATACTCTTGAGATCCTATGACTGCCTCAATAGGATAGTCCTTGAGGACTTATGGGTATCCTCATATAATACCTCTTGGGAACCTCCCCTTATGGTCTTACCTGACCTTTAACCTTTGATCCGGCACAGAGATACCGACAGACATACAGACACTGAACATTATATATATAGATTGGTTGCTGATGTTTATAAAATTGTTAATGATGGTCTAAGAATAACACTTGAGGGTGATATAGTTGATATTGAAAATGGTAAAGAAGTTCGTGAACATCATCATATATGTGCATTATTATGTGAATGAACCTATTGAAAGAGAAGGAACATTAATGTCTGATGATGAATTTTTAGAAATAAGGAAATTCAGTTTTAAAATATTGAAACTATTTTCTTTTTTTTTCTAAATTTAATAATTAAATTCTATATGAAAAAAATCATATTCATGTTATTGAAATTTTTAAATACATTAAACATCAAGTTAAACTTGTTTGCGCTTGTCATCGAAGTTCTCAAACAAATGAAACAACTGTAAAAAATAATATTCATAATCGTTCTTATTAGATATTATTTGGTAAAACAGCTGAAATTTTTATTGAAGGTAAAAGTATGGCAATCTCAGATTGAACAAATTTATTAATAAATCTTCTTTCACTATCAATACGAAGAACAAAACAGTTTAAGAGACGTTCCGTGAGATGACCAGACATCATAGCCGGGGCTAAATGTTTTTTTTTTCGATTTTAACTATCCAATTGCGAAGAGCATTAAATTTTATGAACAGATGTAAATTAGTTCGATCTAAAACTGTTCTAAAAAAATTTTGGCCTAGACCAACTTTTTTTTGACCCTCTAAATCATCATATAATTTTTTCAAAAATTCATTGCGGATCGTATTTTGGCATTTTCTCGAAAATAGTTAAAGCGATCATGTTCATTCAAGTTTCATGTAATGACTCTTGATATATTCTACAAAATACTACGGATTACGAAAACATTTGTTATTGCAGTCTAGAGTTATATAGGCGTGAAGACAAATATTTTTGAAAAAAATAGATGTAAAAATATCGTATTTTTTCTGATTTTAATCCTCTTGTAATTCCAGTTATAAAATCTCCAAACATTTTTTTATCGCATCTTGTAGAACTTTTCAAGCTGCATCTATCCATATAAAATTGAAGGTTTAAAAAAACTACCAACATCCCAAAAAATCGCTAACATTAGGAGCCCTATAATGGTCCCAATATATGAATACCATAATAATGACCTCAGATAATTCTTAATGAGTCTTTATGAAAATAACATTTTTATAATCTAATTATGAAGATATAGCGATTTGTAGATTATTTGTTTATTATCATACTTCTAGGTTAAATGTTTCTGATTTATCTATAACCTAATCTTATGCATCATATGTAAGATTAAGTCTACATAAGCCGCAACCTGTTTCTACAGAAGTTGCTTAATCGTTGTCATCAAATTCTTGCTGAAATTAGGATATTTTATAGATGAAAGAGTTTTGAGAAATTTCACGTACTTATTATATAAAGATGAGTTCAAAACGAGTGAAGTATTGTCAAGCTGATCAATAGTACCACGTAAACGGCAAAATAGTCATTTTTGGTGTTTTGTACATTGCATATCTTATGAAAGAATTATATTGGATTACTGAAATTTCAGTTATATAGAAACCTCTTTGAGCACTTATTCTAGTAAAAAATTCAGCTCTTTAAATAGTTCCTATCATTCAGGAGACCTTTCACAAAATCATGATTTTAACCAAATTGACGACTTTGGAAGGGTCCGATCTTCCAAGATATTGAGCGTATAGAAGTCGGACTGATGTGGATTTAAAGTACCCACTGAGTACTACAAAGTTATGCAAGAATTAACCTGAGTTGTTGAAGAATGGTCTACGGAGACATATTGGAAAATACAAAAAAATGAGCCGTTTTCTATAGAGAATCTATCCGAGTTCGTTTAGAAACTACTTGAAGAATTTCAGCATATGAAATAAAATCTATCCAATATAAATCAGAGTGCGGGTGTGGCTCTTCTCTTCTCTTCACTCACACCACACTCACATCCGACAAAAAAGAATCTCCAATATTTTTTATCAAACTTTTTTTAGCAAAGTGTTTTCAACAGGAAGTAACCATTCGTTTTTTTTTTACTGTGTTGACTACTCTATAACACGAGATAGGATACAACTTAGCTACGTTCTATGCTAATGAGAAAATTAGACCTCCAACAAAATAATTTTCTCACTCAGCTGTTCACTATGCCCCTTCCGACAGGCCGTGAAAGATAACTGAGTAATGTATGGTCTCTTTTTATTGGAGAACTTGAGGACATATAATCAAAACGCCTTGTTGATGTCCTAAATATTATGACAGATATCTTGGTATGACTGCTTCCTTCTCATGGACAACGACAGACATACCCTGAAGAAACAGAGATCTATAACATGATTAGAATGAAACACGACTAACTTTAAGATAGATGTCCTGTGGTCCTTCTTTCCCACTCATTGTTAATATATTACGATTAACATCTTTCATCATCGATATACATGAATAGTAGATTAGAATTGATAAACCGAAACATGTCAATAAGTATTTTCTTTTACAATAACAGCAACTCCATCGTGTTTCACAATTCAATCTCACTGATATTGCATTTGCAGTTTTTTATTCTAACATATATTTTGATTATATACTTTAATTTGTGTCAAATACTATAACAAAAATGAGATGATATATAGTTTATATTGTAAATAAAATACATTTTTTTCTAAATCTGTATTTTAGTTTGGTTTTGTTTATAATAGTATACATATGTATATGTAGAACATTAAGAAAATAAATCGATTTTCGTTCGTCAGATAGCATGCAAAAAAAAAGCACTTACAATATGCAGCGTTGCTGCAGGGTTTCATCAGATCTCTAAAGAAGTCTTTTAATGAAAACGAGTGCCCTATATATTTCTATATTCTCATTAGAATGACACTACATAGCCAGATTTTCACTTAGTTGAAAAGAGTGCTATATTAACAAAAAAGGAAATTAAACAGTTAATTGATAAATAAAATTTGCCATTGAAAATCATTAAATTAACAATAACACGAAAATCTTCAACTGTATGGAAGTCTTAATTGTATTTATGGAAATGAGATCAAATGAGAATATATTCTATACAATCAGTGTGAAGATTTACTTATTTATAAATCATCATTTGGTACTATAATTCACTATCTAAGCATATTCGTCGTTGTCAAAATAAAAAAAAAAACGACAGCTTCCAATGCTCAAACAAGTATTAATCAGTTTTATGCACATTCAAAAAATGAACCACCTATTTCAGATCGAGTTAAGCAGGAAATTAAAATTGCAAAAGCTTTTAATGCTGGTTGATACTTACCTATAGGGAACTGTGGGTCTACGTTTTTGTGAACTAGAAAGAATTGGACTCAGTCTCGTAGCTCCCTACTATTCGGTATAATGTGTGCTATACCGTAAGGGCTTTGGCATTGAAATGGTCGGCTATCTTCTGATCGCTATTCTCCCATAGTATAATGATGGTTAGTCTTCAACCGGCAATCTACTTCCGATATATCGGAGGTAGCAGAGCTCTGCGGGACGGAATGGAACGGGACAAGATCAATTCACTTGTGTGTCCTATCAAGTGTATATGAGGCAGAGTTGTGAGTGTTCTGGAAAAAAATATAAAGGAGATTTATAAAACTTTTAAGGCCTCTAAAAGGTTCTGTGTTTTATTTGACAGTTGAAATCCTGAAAAAAATTTCGACGAAGGATGTCAGAAGCATTTTTTATGTCCAGAACCTTTTTTTTCAAGGTTTTTGCTTTTCGAATAAAAAAAAAACAGAAGTTTTCAGAAGCTCAAAACGTTCTGCAAACTTCCTTTATTTTTTTCAGAACATGTACACTCATACCTTGAAAAATGTCGACAATATACCTTTTCTCAGATCAGTTATTCGATGAGCAGTATTTAAAGTTGTACTTCTTATTGAATTTTTCATTGTTTATTTTCGTAATAAAAATGTTGCCATGTAAATATTATTTTGAAACAGACGTTTCGTAAAATTGCTTTTGTAAAGAAAAAATTATTACGATAGAGTACATCATAAATATTAGTCTTTATAGATGTCACTATCACTTGAATTTATTCTATGCATTATAAATCTACATATAAACTTTATTTGTTTTAATAATCAATGAAAATATCAAAAATATAGTTTATGATCATTTATTTGCATCATATCTTTGCAATATTTTCGTAATTCATAAACAGAAATTATTGATTCTTGCATCATATAAAGTAAGATGATGAGTCATATATATCATATATGCTGAAACTAAATTCAAATTTTTGATTTAAATTTACTTTAATTATTAATATTTTAGAAATATGCAAAATCTTTGTTTATACAATACACGAACAATATCATTATCTGATTTAACTGGTGCTAATATTGTTCGATATTTTGATATTGATTCAGACAAACAAATAATCTATCTTTTAACTTCTTATTCTATATATTCATTAACATTAAAAAATGAAAAACTTAAATCTATTTATTCATCAATTGATCAAACAATAGCATTAGAAGATTTATGTTATCTTTCTGAATTAAATCATTTATGTTTAGGTTTATCAAATGGTGATTTAATATCATTACAATTTGATAATGATATTGATGAAAATCTTAATGTTATTGGTACATTAGAAGAATGTATACATGAATTAAAATCAAGTCTTGATCAACAAATACTTACTGCTGTAACAAATACAAAAGTACTTTTACTATAAGCATATAATGATTATGTACCTATTGCTGAAACATTACTTGATACAAGTGATTTTGGTGAACAAAAATTAGTAAATGTTGGTTGGAGTTCAAAAACAATACAATTTCATGGTTCAGCTGGTAAAAAAACTGCTCTTGAAAATATTAATATCATACCAACAAAATTAAAATCTGATGATGATGCTGGTCGTAGTCATATTGTTTGGCGTGATGATGGTGATCTATTTGCTGTATCATTTATTTCATTAAAAAATCAATGGCGTATAATAAAAATTTTTAATAAACAAGGTCAATTACAAGCAACAAATGAAACATCATTAAATGGTTATATTGAATCAGCTATAGCATGAAAAATAAGTGGAGGATTAATTGGTGTTGCAATGAGATTTAATAATGGACAAAAATTAACAATAAGTTTTTTAGAAAAAAATGATCTTAAACATGGAGAATTAATTTTAGAAACAGGAGAAAATATTAAAAAATATGTCGAACATATAGCATGGAACAAAGATTCAACAATTCTTGCTCTTGTTCTTCGTCAAGAGGTATTTAAGAAAAAAAAAAAGTTTATTGATCGGTCATACAACTCTTTTCATATATCACAATCGGATAGGATAAACGAAGTATTCAATAATCAAACCTTAGACCCTAGCGACCAATGAGTATGTCAATGACTACATTTCCATAGCAATCAAGAACAACAGAATGCCTTTTCCAAAGTTCCTTAGTAACGGAAAAAGGTTCTGATCAACAAGACTTCGATATTATAAATAGGACAGGTTTTGATTTTAGCTCGCGAAGAAACATTTTCAATTGAAAAATTGTCTTTGAATTGATGTTTGTGAGTTTATTGAAATCTATAATAGTGTGTTGAGACCTGCTGTGGATACAATGGATATGTATAAGAGCAGTTAAATTAAGAAAAAAAGAGGATGCACAAAATGAAAAAACAACAAGACAGATCATTTCCCTGGCGATCGATTATCCTTATAATACAACTATCTATCAACGACAAAATACTTGCGAATCGTATTTTTGATGAATACTTCCACAAGTAGTCAACCCCAAAAAAAGAGAAGGTTCTCAGAAGATTTTTTTCGTCTGTAGAGCTTGTTGAGCTGATCATTTCAGTAAAAAAAAAAAATATTCAAATTTATCAATAAATCATGGTGTTAGAACAAGAATACTTCTAGCTGCTGTTGAGCAGCAGTTTACGATTTCGAGTATATTGACCCAAAAATTTTCTTAGAATGTTGCAGATCCGAATCCGTATCTTCCTAAACTGTAGTCTGCTAGAGATTTTTCATTTAACGTATTTTGTATTAGTATAAAAGAGACTAAAGAACATATGTTAGTCCTAAAAGGTCTACGTGGGCAAGTTCTCTTGAAATAATTATTGACAAAAAAAAATTCTTTTATTTAAGAATGATTCATATCTTCAATTATGGTCATCAAGTAATTATCATTGGTATTTAAAACAATCATTTTCATTTTCATCAATTAATATTCAAACACTTCTATGGAATATTGATATCAATAATAAACTTCATTTTATAACTAATAATGGTCAATATCATTCAATGTCTTGGTCATGGATAAGTCAAGTTAGTTATACAAATACTCGTTCACTTGTTTTTCTTATTGATGGTTGTCATTTATTTATATC